TATCTCTCAAAGTACATCAACATGATAGCCCACGATTCACTCAGAAAGCACCAAGAATCCCTTCGAACATACACACAATATTACAGCAGAGGAATCAAATACAAACTCTCAATATTCACACAGAATATTACAATCAAAGGTAGATCCAGCTATTACAATACTCTAAATCAAAGATTTAGAGTGAAAACAGACATCAAGAATCAAACCCTATCTCTTCCTCTCGTTTTCTCTCAAAGAGAAGAAAACCCTAGAAGTCTCTTGAATGCCAAAAATATCTCAAGCCTCAGTATATCAACAACCACAGCATCCAACGGCCACAGGTGAGCCAAGTGTCATCCATCCAAGTGAAGTTGCTTCTCATTTAAGAGAAGCGTGTTTAGCAACCATGAGTTCAACCAAAAGCTGGGAGCAAAATAAACGGGCCAGGATCCAGCCCAACAATAAATACAAATCGTGCAACGCACATGAGAGCGACTAGTATATAATAAAATTCAAATGTTCATGATCAACAATTTAGTTACGATGATGATTCAAGGATTGAAACATGCTCATCATTGAGGACGTCAAAGTTCTGTGAGATTTTGGTACATCAAATACAATATTATAAATAAAATTTGCGATTCAATTCTATTTTAATATTGTTACACTAGCTAGCTACGTACACTCACAAGGAAAGAAACGAAACAAAATTAACTCAATGACATTGACAAGTGTTCATGTTTGATACACATAATTGGACATAATTGGACAATATAATAAACAAGATTTCAATTTGTTTTCTTTTTTAATATCGTCCAATACTTTCCTTTCTATCAAACAAGCCTAAACAACTTTATTCTTAAAAAATACAACATATTTATCTCACTTCATCAATTTGGCCTTCCACATTTTTTCCTTATCTCGCCTCTTGATCCCGTGAGGGGACTAATATTACCCATCCTTATCATTGCAGCAGCAAAATCAGAGTTGAAAGAATTAGGTCTCTTGCTGTAGGATTCAATCAATGAATCAGTTGATCCACCATTGTACAGAATCTGATCAGAATGCAAAAGTCCTTTCTTGTTTATTAGGTTTTTGTAGTAATTATTGTCAAACTTATTTTGCGTTTGGACGTCGAGAGGTGCCAAGTTGTTGTCCCCAGAACCCACAGTTATTGGACACTTTCTTTGCCTTGTTCGAGCAAAAGAAGCGTCGATGTTGCTCTCGTTGTATATGCGAACCCTGAAGCTTGTACACCTTGATTGCCCGATTGTGTGCGCTCCTAATTCATTACAATGAAACCACTTCAAAGATGGAATTGGATTTCCGGAATTGAAATTCACAAATTTTTTCTTCAAGTAGCAAGGTCAATGTGACCAGGAGACACAGTCACTACACTTGATGTATACTGACAAGGAATATATTGTATTTCCCGTTTTCGGATGGGGAGAATTTCATTTTTTAACACTTTAAGCCGGAGGCCCTTCAAAGTATGTACTATTTTTTTACCATTTTTGTTCATCTTTGGCCTTCCCTTTCCTCAGTATTACAGAGATCAAACTAAGGCCAATTTGAATAAGCAATAAAAGATTATCTATAAGTTTACATATAAGTAATAACTAAGTATTAGAAATTTTTTTGAATTTACAAGCAAAATATTTTATTGTGTGGATGAAAACGTATATGTACAATAAAGAATTTTGAAATAATTATTATCAAACAGATGCCTATAGTTAGACTTATTTTTATTATTGGGTAAACATGCTTTAATTTAATTGATTATTTAGCCTCAGGTAATATTATATTACATAATCATCAATACATTGTCGTGTGACTATATTCTTTAATATTGTTTAGTCATATTTTAATATGACGTACCACTTGCTAGATAGAAATATTAGAGAAAACTCATAATTTGTCCAACTAAGCAATTTATACGATACTTAAATACCTGATAAAACAACCATGTCCTTGGTGGAGAGGCCTCTTGCTTTAAACCTATTTATGAGATTGTTAAGAGTAGATGTTGGAGGTGGTATTACACCACTATTTGCAGCTGAAAGGCTTGCTGATTTTGAATCCCTCCTTCCAAGTT